AGAGAGATAAAAAGCGAGAAATCACCCCTCGGGGGGATGGCCACACTGCAATCCTTTCTCCTCCATTCTCCTCTCGGGATCTTGGGCACGTGCACACATGCGCCCAACATGAGTTTAAGCCACCAGGTCCGGGACTCAAACCGTGGTCGGCTACATGGGAGTTCAGCGACATAGCCATTACGCTAACTGCTGATCCCGCCATCTATACTGTTTAAAATATCTTTATATCATTTTGTTTTAGGTCATGCCTTATAGGCAACATGTAGTTGTTTTAGGCTATAAATAATTTGAAACTATGTCTTTATTATGGGGACCTAACCTGTTCACACTTATTGTTCTCATCAGTGTGTTCAGTACTTACTGTCATATACATCCTGCTTTTTTTATTTCTTTACCCTCCTTGCTTTTTGTTATGTTGGTCACCCCCTGTTTTGAGGTTTAATTATAAGGGAGTTATACATCTCCATTTTCTTAAGTAATTATTTATTTATTTAATTCCATTATTTCTTTTTTTTATTATTATTATTAAATTTTGACCAGAGAGAGAAAAAGGGAAAGCAAGAAAGCAAACTCCCAGGTCCAGGACTCTAACAGCAGTCGGCCATATGGTAATCCAGAGCCTTTAACCACCACACCACCTGCCAGTCCCTGTATCTCCATTTTTTTTCTTAAGTTCTACTGTAAATGCTAGTTTGGCTAAGTATAAGAAGTTAAGTTAATCTTGCTTTAGAATTTTGAAATTGTTTTTTGTTTTTTAGTGCATAACAGTGATAGTATGGCATCAGTTTTGTAGATAATCTATTTTTCTACCTACACAGTGAAGACTTTTATTGTGAAGTTTCATCATAGTGTATCTAAATGTATCATCTTTCTTCAACTTAAGGAAATTTTCTAGTATTTTCTTAGACCCTCCTTTTTATTTCTTTCTGTCTAGAACTTCAGATAGATAGATGTTGGAAGTAATCGATTTTTATTGCATGTCATTAACTTTTTCTCTAAAATCTCACCTCCCCACCCTTCAATTTTCATTGAAATCTCATAGATTTTCTTGGTTCCACACTTTACTTGTTCATTTGTTCCTCTTTGTGTTGAATTAATTGTAATAATCCTTTTCATTTTCAAGATTTCTAATCGAGGGAACCAGCAGTTAGCGTAATGGCTATGTCGCTGGACTCCCACATAGTCGACCGCAGTTCGCATCCCGGACCCAGTGGCTTGAAACTCACGCCGGGCACGTGTGCGTGTGTGCCCAAGATCCCAAGAGGAGAGTGGAGGAGAAGGGATTGCGGCATGACCATCCCCCCTGGGGGGTGATTTCTCGCTTTCTGTCTCTATGTTTCTCTCTGTCTGGCGAGCGCACGCGCCCTATAGCAAAAACCTCTCAAAAAAAAAAGATTTCTAATCGATAGATTTTTTTTTTGTTTGTTGATTGGTTTGTTTGATGCTAGAGAGCTTACGTGCACACGTGAGGAAAAGAGAAAGACAGAATGCAAGAAAGCATCCCCCCCACCCCACAGCAGGATCTGTTCATGCCAAAATCCTTTTGCTCTGACCTCTATCCCATCAGGATCCTGCAGGGACTCACTTGGTCTGTTTTTCCTGCGTGCGACTTGAACTCTTAGCCATGTAGGATCCAGTTTACTCTGCACCGTGCTTATGGTATAGGTCTGGCCCTATAATGGGTGCTTTTTAAATGTAGCCTTTTTATTATTTTTATTTTTTATTTTTTATTTTTTTTTTAGATTTTTGTCACAGGGCATGTGTGTTCACCAGAGAGCACACCAGAGAAAGAGAGAGAAAGAGAGAAAAAATGAGAAATCATCCCTTGGGAGGATGGCCATCCCACAGTCCATTTTTCTGTTGAGATTTTGGCATGTGTCCAGTGTGTTGTTCAAGCTTCTGGATCTAGGACTCAAACCGTGGAGTTGGCCATGTGGGATCCACTGCCCTAACCACCATGTCACCTGCTAACCCTTATTCTTTTTTAACAAATGCAGTGTAACTTTTCATTCCCCTGCTATTAAAATTTTTATTTGGTTTATCCTGCTTTCTTATATATTAATTTTTAAATTTGCGCTAGATTCTTCTCTTCTCTGAATTGATTTTCCTATAGTGGTAGCAATTCTAGCTTGTGTGGTCTCTTGGAAAACAGAGGTAAGATAAACCACTTGGGTTTTGGGTGTGCAGGGATCCTCATACCTGTTGGATGACATAGCCCTGGCTCTAGTCTGACTTCTGCTTCTCTCCAGAGTAGTGAGAACATTGTTGAGGTTGTCTCAGATGTAAGATTTCCAGCAGTCACCCTGATGGTTGTCTTCTGTTGTGGGTGTTTTTCTGTCGTTTTGGTGCTGAAACATGTGTCCTTGAAATATGTTTCAAGGTTGCTACTTGAGTTACATAATCATTACTTAATGATGAATATATTCTGAGAAATGATTGAATATGTGATTTCATGGTTAGATGAATATCATAGTGTACTCACATAAACCTAAATAGTATATCCTGCCGTACTTGACGCTGTGGTAGAATCTTTTGCTCCATTATTGTATGTTGGGTCTGACATTGACTGAAACATTGCGCCTATTTCAAAGTTTTAGAAGATGATTAAAGCTGTTATAGCAAGTGGAAGATTTTATGTTTATTAATTTGTGCTTTTCTTGGTTTCTTTCATCCTCCCACATTTCAGTTTTGACACTGGCTAGCTTAAACTAACTATGTGATATGCTGAACTTATAAACTTAGAATTTCCTAGAATTCCTTCTTTGTACATTATACTTTTTAAAAAGAACTCTAATGATAGTTAGACTGCAAAAGGGAAACAAGGTAAATGAAGGGGAGAAGTAGAAGAGGAAAATCCAGTTAAGAGTAGAGGAGAAAAGTATAGATCCAAGAAAGGTTGCTATCTGATCTTCCCTTTATGACTAGGAGGTACCCTGGGTCCAAGCAGCTTGGCTTTCACAAATTCTTTATTTGTGGGGGCAGTACTTCTACTTTTGTTTTATCAGTGATTACCTGTTGGAGGTATATGGATTCTTCCATAGTCCCATATTTGTTAAAAGTTGGATGGTGTTGACAAGCCATAATCCAGTATCATGCAAAGATATGCTACAAAGCTCTTGGACCTGGTGGCTGGGACTTGGATAATTGGATTTATCTACAGAGATGCTTCCCCAAAATTTATTCAGGTATTCACAATTGCCTTAGTAGGTATTAACTACCAACTCTTCTATATTGTACACATGAAATGTGTGAGTTGGGTCTTCCAGAAAGTAGACACTGAGATAGAGGTAGGAGTGCAAGAGGTTTGTTGATGAGCCAGCAATAGATTGGTGATAACAGTTGTGATAAAGTTATTCTATCTATTCTGTACTGTTGACTAACAGCCAAGTTAAAAAAAAAAAAGAATATATGAATAAGTTGCTACAGAATACGAAAGCCTAGTGGCCAATAAACATGAAAAGATTTTCAAATTCATAAGTAGTGAGGAAAATGAAAACTAAAGTAACATTAGAACTTTATACTAGGGTTTCTTTCTTTTCTTTCTTTTTTCTTTTTTTTTTTTTTTTTTTTTTGGAGAGGTTTTCACTATAGGGCACGTGCGCTCGCCAGACAGACAGAGACATAGATAGAGACAGAAAGCGAGAAATCACCCCCCAGGGGGTATGGTCGCGCTGCAATCCCTTCTCCTCCATTCTCCTCTCAGGATCTTGGGCACGCACGCACATGCGCCCGGCGTGAGTTTTAAGCCACTGGGTCCGGGACGCGAACCACGGTCAACTATGTGGGAGTCCAGCGACATAGCCATTACGCTAACTGCTGGTTCCCTATACTAGGGTTTCTTAAACTTGACACTATAGACATTTTAGATCTGAGAATTCTTAGTTGTGTTGTGCTGTCCTGTGGACAGCAGATGTTAGCATCATCTCTGGTTTCTACCCTTCCCCTGCCAGCTGTGACAATCAAAAGTATTTCCATACATTGTCAAATGTCACCTGGGAGTAAAATTACTCCTAACCGAGAACCACTGTCTTATATCGAATCAACTAGACTAGGGAAGATTAAGCATAATTATTACATCTAATGCTGGCAGGAATATTAGAAAAGCGATATTTTAAAGCACTCCAGCCTTTAGGGGAAGACTGAGTGTTTTTGAAGCTAGAAATATATAAATCTTTTGATTCAGCAGTCCTATTGAGAATCTGTCCTATGAAGAGATTTGTGTGATGCAGCTTGCACTGTACACAGCCATTTTATCCTCCCATTTTTCTTTACAGTTTATTATTAGTGTAGGCTGAGTCTATTGCTGAATGTTGATTAGCATTTAATAATTCTTTCCTCTCTGGGACCAGCAGGTGGCGTGGTGGCTAAGGCACTGGACACTCCCACATGGCAACCACGGTTTGAGTCCTGGACCTGGTGGCTTGCTTTCTCACTTTCTCTCTCTGTGTCTCTCTCTGGTCAAATGAAAATAAATGAATAAATAAATAA